AGGAAGGAAGGAAGGAAGGAAGGAAGGAAGGAAGGAAGGAAGGAAGGAAGGAAGGAAGGAAGGAAGAGCATACAACAATCTGAAAAGAGGGCTGGGTATTTTACTGAGGGGGAGACTACTTGATATGTTTCCTAAGAAAGTATCTTATTAAGCCAAGCCCATATGGCTATTACATCTTACGCAACTTGTTTACTTATGTGGTCACACACTACAAAGAGTATTTCATCAAAGGAGAAAAAAAGCATGATCTTTGCAAGACACATAAAAAACTAATAGTTCTGGAAAATTACTTGAGAATAGCAAAACAATAGTAAAGATAATATGTATGTGTGCATGCATAATTAGGTACAAAGGTGCAAAGTGCACATTCAAACCCAAAGTTGAAGATCTTTATTCAGAAAACTCTTTTACCAATTCTTGGGTTAAAGCAACAATTTGGGGTGCGGGTGGGGGAAGAGACATGGCCTCCTTCTGTAAACAGAACAATGGCATTTGTATCATCATGATTAAGAAAGTAGGAGAGATGCACCATGCTTCCTCACTTTCTTTCATTGGGCTTAACCTGTGGTAGGTGCATTGTTAATGGATACCAATCTGCTGAAATCTGTCTTGCAATTTCTCAAAGTTTTCTTCCCCTGCAAAAGTGATTTCTGGTTTGCTACCTTATTCTCAGGGAGCTTGAGAATTTCTTTCCAATTTCTCTTGATGGCATTTATGAGTTTTTTTGGTTGCTGGTTGTGGTAAAGGGCCAATAGCTGGAGCTGATCTTTTCTGTGACACATCTTTCCATTCTTTTGAACCCTATCTGCTGCCCAATTATCCCAAAAGAAGATATTCTCAGCAAACCCTCATGGGAGGAAATTCCTCATGATGTCTAATCCTAACCCTGGGGATTTAACTGAAGCCTGGGAAAGCAGGGTAGCCGCAGGCCACTGGAGACCTAACCATACAGCGAATGAAAGAATATTTACACACAGCACTTGAGCATCTTTTATGATGCTCAAGGAGAGGTCCTTCCACTGTAGCTTTTCTATATCATCCACGCAGCCCAACCTGTGTATTTCCAATCAGCACCATTTCTCCAAATGACAGAAAAGGGCTTCATCTCCACTACAGCCCGTCTCTCACTTGTTTTATTAACCCTGCAGCATTCAAAGAACGCTGGCTCTGAGTCACTGCAATTACAGTCAAGAAAACTGCCTCAAGACAAGAGCGTCAGCACTTGATGACACAAGTTCATTATGGGGGCAAGAGACAAAAGAGGGCTGCAGGCCAAGAGAAAAGGAGGGGGCAATGGCTTCCTGACCCAAATGGACCCTCCTGCACTCTCAGGACATGGTGAAGGTCAAAGGAGAGCATGAGGGTCAAAGGACATTTTTCTTCTTAGTTCATCTTTCACAGAACGTTCGCGTTTAACTGGAGCAACAGCTGATCTAAATCAGAAGAATTCAGCTGTAAAATTGTGTGGATTATACCATTTCAAGCAACAGAGAGGTGCACATATCTGCCATGTCTGAACTCTCTTTCAAGAAAAAAGCTCCCCGCCCTTGGGGTGGTGGACAAAAACCTAGGAGATATCAAGTGTTGTTCAGCGTTAAGCCCACTCCTTGCTTATTACTCCACTAATGTCTTCACAACTATCCTACAAAGTAGGTTAACCTGAAAGAGAAGCTAAAGAGAAGTTTAAAAAGCTCGCTCACGTTATAGATCAGACATGCTGTGGCTTGTAAACCATCATTCATGGTTTAATGCTCTCAAACTGTGGGTCACAAGCAACTTAAAGACTTTTTTAAAGCTTTTTTTTTTTTTAACCTGATTGTGCTTGTGCAGATAATAGGAACACTATCAAAACACATCCTGGGCCTGTGCAAAGCCTTAGCAGGCAGGGGATACTGCAAAGCTGGAAAAAACCCTGTGATGTCTAGGTTAAATTGCAATTATTAAGAGTAAGTGGTACAATTATGTCTTGCCTGACCTTAACCCCAATGAAGTTATTAGTTTTATTCATGGGAGAAGAAACCCCAAAAGTATCTTATTTTAGGAGACTCTGGTGCTTGAGAACTCCTGGCTTAGTATATTCTGCTAACACAACCAACTGTGGTTTATTCAATAAACTATAGATGTGAACCCAGGCCCTTTAACATATGGCTAAGCACAAATCTTCCAATGACCTGAACACAGCTCTTCCTGTTCAAAGGACACACCAGCCACACTGTTTCAGTGAAATAAATGTTTAATTAACTGGCTTAATTCCAGGTTCGGACACATTATCCAAAGACCCAGCTCTCTGGAAAAGGCTGTAATGCTGAGAAAGGTAGAAGAAAAGAGAAGAAGAGGATGACCAGCAGCAAAGTGGATAGACTCAGTTATAGTGGTGATGAGTCTCATCGTTGGAAGACTTGACAGAACAGGTTAGGGATAGATCGTCATGGAGAAAATCTATGTGATCACCAGGACTCAAAAATGACTTGATGGCAGACAATCAATCTATCAATTAGATTTTGACGACACTTCCTGGGAGACAAAGACCTGCCCTAGTTCTGATAGACCCCCACCCAGTATTGTATTGTATTGTATTGTACTGCATTGCATTGCAAATCTTTCTTCATTTTATCCCCACAATAAATAACTCTGAGAGATGGGTTGGTCTAAAAAAAAACAGCATCTTCTGGCTCCAGACTGATCCACCCAAGCACCCCAAGGGCTGTTTGTTCCAGGTGAACTTTGCTTGAGCAAAAAAGATTTTCCAGGTCTCAGGTGGACCTCTGCAACCTTTGCCTCGTCCTTCAGGTCCAATGATTCACTCACCCCATGATCTTATCCCTCCTGATTCATTCTTTAGTTCTGACCTGCTCTTCAGGCCATGTTTCCTGACCCAAAACGTATGCTTTGGGTCAGGAACCAGACCTTTAATCCTAGGTCTGATAGTTAGCAATACTAGTCACATACATTATGTCCTTCGTCACTTTCAAGGAATTGTGTCAATGATGCAGCACAGTTGAGACAAAGCACACTTTCTTCCTATGACTTTTTTGAAGCTATGCTAAGTCCATGAACCCCACCAATAATACTTTCAGGTGATTCATCAGCGGGACCATAACATGAATGTATCAAAGCACTAGATTTCATCGTTCTATACTTGATCAATTCCTCCACCCCAATTCCCTTACTCAAGAGCAAACAGAAATATATAGTTTAGCTGTACAATCATATGGGAGCTCAGAACAAGTACAGAATTCCGCTGCTTAAAAAAGTGAGCTGATTTTTTTCCCTTGTTACTTTGAAAAGTGTAGGGATATAAAAAAGTTTGTCTCATAGTGAGTCAGATCACTGATCTATCAACATCCGTATTGTTTTCCCAGACTGGAAGTGGCTCTTCATTGTTTCAGAAGAGAGTCTTTCCCAGTTCCATTAGGAGGTAGTGAGGTTGACCCTATGACATGTTGCAGAAATGACTGAATAACATTTCCAGTGGACAATGGGTGGGGATGCAACTCCCTGCCTCTCCAATGAGTTGAAGCAGCAAAATTATCCAGAGCAAAGGAAATGACAACATTCAGCTCTTGGTAATGCAAACTTTGTATAGGGCCTTAATTTCAGAAACATCTACCCTGCTCATCTCGGGTTTGCAAAACCCTTAAATGCAAAATGAATATGATGCATTAAAATGAAAACCTTAAATGCAACTGAAATAAATGCAAATGTTTATGTTCATATAAAGACCCATCAAAACATTCTATTTATTTTTAAGAGTTAAAAGAGAGCTAGCTGTGCAGGTTTCCAAGAAGGAAGCTCTGTATTGGAATGCCCACCTCATTAACACCAGCAATTTTTTTAAAAGCCCTACTGTTTTTTAGAGCACACAAAGGGCAGCATCTCTCTGGCTGCTATACTGTTTTCCAAATTCCCAGCCACACCAAGGATATCCTCCCCAACCGTCCCCTTGCGGGATGTGTAGGCTTAGTGGTTCAGGATGCTTGGCAAAGCCAGCCCTTGTCTCAGCAGGCTGAACATTAATGTAACTTATTGGCACAAGCCAAGCTTGTTCGGTGTCATAAGAGCAACTCTATGTTACTAAGCTGGATTTAGGGTTAAAGTATGTTGTGTGAGCTCAGACTCAGAAGCTCAGCTCTCCATGGTTTTCATCTCTATCTTCCCTCCTCCCCTTTTTTCAACTAAAAAAGTCATTCATTGGCAGTGCTTGTCCTCTGCCCATTGTTATAGCTCCTTTCTCCCAAAGTTACAGCCCAGTTCTTCCTGGGCACATGGGCTCACATACAGACATTTGCCCACACAATTGCCTGGGCACAATGCTGCTCATATGGGGGGAGTGCCAATTTTGCACTCACGCTCCATTCCGATGCATGGACCCAATGCAGTAAGAGCTACAGGAGGGGAGGGTTATGCTTTTTGCTTTCTATTTTTGCAAGCTTACCTGGAGCAATGGTTTCCAACGTCCCCGAATCAAGTTTCCTAGTGCTGGTGCAGTGCTGAATGGCGGATCCAGTAAAAACAAGATAAAAAATTACATCGTCACTTTCGACTTGGTCATCTTCTGTAAGCAATACGGTGATTATGCAGTCACCCTAAGGGATCCAGGGATAGAGGGAAAAAAGAAAAGTATGAACTATTAATTTTATAAAGCTGAAGAATGGCAGATTCCAGGAATGTGCTTGTATCGTACATGCTCTCCCTCTGTCCTATTCTTCAAGTCTCAAGGTACATTCCAGAGACCTGCTCTTTCTTCTATGCTTATATTGATCCACGGAATGTTTAAAGCCCCACTGTTTTACCTATGGCCCTGGGAATTCCTGTCTCCCATCCAACTACTAACCAGGTCCAACCTTGCTTACCCATTCTCATCCAAGATTGGCCAGTTACTGCCAAATGCTTAAGACAAACTAGGCTAAGGAACATTAAAATGAGAAACTGCAACTGGTTGTTCCAGTAGAGAAGCAAACTTCACCAGACCTGGAATCTGATTATCAGAGGGAGCACCTTTTCCTTTGTGAATGTGTTTGGATCTTAAAACCTGCATAGAAAGCCCTACTGAAGATGCACTCTAGTGAGGCCTTCTCCTGACTCCCTTTCAAACTATGAAATGTACTTCCTGATGAACTGTACTCAGTCCCAACTCTCTTATTCATTTTATTTCTTTAAAAATATAACAGCCCCTTTTCCCAACAGCTTTCCCAAGCTGGGTACACTTAAAAATTACAGTTTTGTGATGGTTCAAAATGCACAACATATAAACAAGCAGAGCATTGCCAGAAGACATCCATTGATGAAATAGGTCTGTTTGCACACAAAACAATAATAATAATGTATAAAATAACATCTGTTATTATTACAACCTGGATGAATTAAAAAGCCTGGTGCTAACATGATTTAAAAAAAAAAAAATGACAGGCGGGTCTTACTAAGGGTGGCTTTCAAGGACGAGATGGGGGGAGAGAGGCACGTCTGCCTTTGAAAGAGCAATTAAGCTGCATCACTTTAGCCAGTCCTTTACATGCTAATGATTTTAGTTGGCTTTTTATCTTTCTTATTTTCTGAATTTATTGGATGTCATTTGGGCCTCGAGTCTTCATTCTAAACAGAAAAGGCAAGAAATAGAACTGGAAAAATCATAATAACCCCTACCGAGGCCAAACCAGCTCCTTGTGCAGGAAAAGATTACCTGTGCTCCTAAATGCCACATCAAAAGTCAAGAGAGATGTGTTGCTGGAACTGGGGTAATAAATAATCTCCAAGAGTTTGGAACAACAAAATAACCCCCTACCCCATCCCCTTCATCCTTAAAGAGAGGCAGAAAAACAGAAGCTTCCTTCAGACAGAGGAGAAACAAAATCAGAATACAAATTTTGGTTCAGTCTTATTTATTACTCTTTTTGCAGAGATAAAGATTGATCCATGGGCCACAAATGCCACATGCAGAGAAACAGGAACAGTCAAGAACGGTGCTTGAAGCAAGGTAACATATAGGTCATCGCTCACAAGAATATCTGTGTGAATCAGAATCAGCCACCAAGCTCATAGATGACTGTCAGCTTGCCCCCCCCTCCCCCCATAATTGAGGTCGCAGCTTTGTTGCAAAGAAAAGGTGGGAATCAGGAACACAGGAAGAATGCCCTGAATAATTCGAAAATCATTCACATACATGATCCCCCCCCCCAACCTGGGAATGCTAACAGAATTTGTCTCATCCCATTTTTACAAAACAACAGAAGATTGAGACATCTCCCACCCACTCCATAAACCTGTTAGGAAAACAGACTCACACCTTGCAGTGCAAGGGCCTCCAGGTTTGAATAAATCCAGAGGGAAAGCAACTGACCAGAATTTTTGCCATCAAGGAAGGTTTTCCCCTTCCAACAGTCAGGTTGCCTTGAGCTCTGAAAGAGCCATTTAATTCAAGCGTGTTTACCTTTCCTGGTTTATTATTACCCAAATAATGTCATCTGTTTGAGATCACTACCACACAAGGTGGTTATTATAACCCCCTTCACTTCAAGCAGCTAACAAATGACTAGCTGGCCTTGCCAAGGCCCATTTGGAGAAAAGACTCCCAAGATCAAAGCAAGCTTCTGGCACAGACAAGCAAACAAAAGTATATGTTAATTTCGTACCTAGTTTGGACTGACTAACATTTACTTGGCTTGGTGCCCCACTGCCAATGAAAACAGATCATTTTCCTCCATTCAACAGACACTAAAAACAGTCAGCTTTCCTTTCGAGTCATAAACCTTTCAGAAAAGGTGTGCCTGGATACGTGTGGAAGGATTTCTAAAAGGGGTTAGAGCACCAGGAAAATGGACTTTCAAAAGGGTTTCTGGTGGTTTAAAAATAAGTTTCTTTTGAATCCTGTCCTTTAATTCCCATGCAAGCTTGCACCTTTGATTAAGGGAACAAATCCAGTATGAGGCACCAATATGGAACTGATGCCAAAAGGTCTTTCTGGTATAAAGGTCCACCCACCCAATTCACAGCCCATCAGTAATGTTCAAGTAAGTTCTCTCTGGTGGAAACATCATCAGGACATGTCAACGGAAGATACTGGAAGAAACTCTATTATTACAGGGTATAATAACAGAATCTTGAAAGCCTAACAGTTTCTTTCTCTCCTCTCTCATACCAAAGAAAATCAGTGAGGAACAATCCTGAATTTTTTTTCTCATCTCCTCCTCTTTTTCAGGGCTAAGATGGCATTTACATAATTGCTTTTGCATTCCTTCTTCAAGGTTACCTCCATACTCCTCTATCAGACAATGTTATTTTCTCCATTTGTGTTCAAGAACATTGGTGAACAAAACATTTGTACATAATCTGGGCTGACGAGCAAGTTTAGGACCTAGTTCTAATTATCTCCAGATGCTTGGGACTTAATTAACCATAATTAACCTGTAGAATTCATTACCACAAGTCATGGTGTTGGCCAATAACTTGGATGACTTTAAAAGGAGACTGGTCAAATCCATGGAGGACAAGTCTATCCAGGTGTATCCTATGTTACTTCCAGATTGGGAGCAGCATATCTCCAAATTCAAGTTGCAGGGGAACAATGGCAGGAGAAGGTTATGTCTCCATCTGCTTGTGAGTACTCCAGAGACACTTGACGGGCCAGTCTGAAACACAAAATGCTGGACTAAGATGGACCTTGGATGGATCCAGAAAATCTCTTCTTATAGACTTCAAGTCTCAGCAGCCAGAACAGCCAATGGAAAGGCTATATAGGAGTTATGATTCAAATGGAAATACCTTCTCCAGGGTCAGAAGAAAGAGCAAAGTTTTCCTTCAATTCCATACTCTCTTCAGAGCAAGCAAATTACTGGCAAGCACATTTGTGAGGCACCGGTAATGCAAGAATCATGCAACTGGAAAATGTTGCCATTTGACACATGTTGTACCACTTAAAGAGAAATGTCTATTTCCAATCTCTGGCTAATTTAAGGAAATCTACATGTCAACACAATGGCTTTGGCTGTTTTGTTTTAGACTGAAGGGCAACCTTTTTTTAAAATTATTACTAAATGTAGAACGTCAAACAGAAAACAAATACTCAACACTTGCTCATAACACATTCATTCTGCATGATAGCGCTGGATGATTAATACCAAGCTGTGAAGTTTCTGAGGACAGTTGGCAAACCTTCACATCACAGCTGGCTATGAAACTGTATCACAGATACTCGAGGACAATTGTCCAAGACGGTGTACACAAAACCTCTCTGACACCTTTCATCAGGGTTCCTTTGCAAGCAGGCAACAGCCAGAGGGAACTTCCATTAAGAGTGCCCAGCTTGGTAGGAAGACTTCATTATATATAAAATGGCCTGTTGCTTCCCATCCAGAAACGGAGTGCAATGAGGTCACACAGAATGTGATTTATATTCTTGAACTTTTGATGAAGCAATCAATCTAAAAATATTTGTTTTTTGCGTGGGGAACAAACAATGTGCCAGCAACTTATTCTAAAACATACAAAGAAAAAAAGGGGGGAGGGAGGGAGAGAATCAGATGTCGTCTCATAAGCAAGCCTTTGGACTTAGTTCTCAGACATCCAAGCTTTCTGGGCATCAAATCTGCCTCCTTATGCAATGAGACTGGCTCTGTCCCTCCTCCCACAATTTTTTTCATTTCCCCCGCCCCAAGCCTTGACACTTTCTTCTGAGTCCAAACAATTTTCATTCACCACATTAAGGTCAGGTAGAGTCACTCAGAGGTTGGCTTCACACAAGCTAAAAATGTTTAAGAACAGATTGCTAGGTTTATGCAGTATGCTAACCTTGGTTAGTATTAATACTGGTTATTGCGTGTGTGACTTGACTGCTATTCAAGCCCAGCCCATTTTGGTTGGTTCATGCTTTATTGTATTATCTGAGCCTATAATATAGATTAATTCAGTAACCAAGTTAAACATTATGTGTGAACATAGTCAGTATCACTTATCTTGCCCACTCCAAGCATTAAAACTTTCTCATACCAGGTTAGATGATTGAGTCTAATTCTAGATTATCTGCTCTGACTGGCTGAGGTTCTCCAGGGTCTCAAACTCAGAGGTCTGTCCCATCAACTACTCTTCAGGGTCCTTTCCTTTCAAGATGCCTGAAAAGCAGCTTATCACTTTGAAAACACCATGGCTTCTTTGTCACTGAATTGCCATGTTACTTTGACCCTCTGCAGAAAGGATGAGATAAATCAGGAGGCCTGAAGTCCACATTTGGCCTCTGAGTAGTATGCCAAGGACCACTCCCCCCCACAAAAAGGGGGAGAGGGCTCAACCTCCAATACTCTTTCATTTCAACGTACATCTAATTAAGATATCTCAGTTCACTTCTTCCCATGATTACTTCGCAGGTGTTAGCTACTTCTCTCCCTTGTGCCCCTTTAAAAATTGGGAAAGTCTCTTGGGTCACACTCAAGGTTTCTGGGGCTGAATTCACCTGACAGCTTGTGGTTGTAGCCATGTCACAATCCCTACTGATGAAGGGAGGAACATCGGGAATTCTGTCCAGAGGATCCAGGAGTTACAAAGATGCTGGTTGCATTGCACCCTTTGAAGTTCCAGAGATACATGTTCACACAGC